TTTGTGTGGCACCTTGTCAAATGCCTTCCTAAAATCCAAATATACCACATCTACTGGTTCCCCCTTATCCAACCTGCTGGATACATCCTCAAAAAATTCTAAAAGGTTAGTCAAGCATGACTTCCCTTTTGTAAAGCCATGTTGACTCTGCCTAATCTTTTTATGGTCTTCCAGGTATCCCATAACTACGTCTTTTATTAAGGACTCAAGAATTTTCCCTACAACTGACGTCAAACTAACTGGTCTATAGTTTTCCCTATTTTCTCTCCCACCCTTCTTAAATAGTGGAGTTACGTTTGCAATCTTCCAATCAATGGGAACTTTTCCAGTATCCACAGACTTTTGGAAGATTATAGACATGCCATCCACTATCTCAGTAGCCACCTCCTTTAAAACTCTCGGATGCAGGCCATCCGGTCCAGGGGATTTATCGGTTTTAAGACCCGACAATTTACCTAGAACCATCTCTTTACTAATGTTAATCTCCCTAAGTTGCTCGCTAACATTGTCTTCTTGGTCCTCTATTTTTGGTATGTTTCCAGTGTCTTCTACGGTGAAGACTGTAGAAAAATACTTGTTTAATGACTCTGCCATGTCTTTGTCCCCTATTATAATTCCTCCGGTCTCTGCCTGTAATGGACCCACATTCACCCTCGCTAGCCTTTTCCTCTTTATATATTTGTAAAAACTCTTGGAGTCTGTTTTTATGTTCTTTGCTAGTTTGCCCTCGTAATCTATTTTCTCCCTCTTGATCAATTTTTTGGTCCTCCTCTGTTGTTCCCTAAAGTTCTCCCAATCCTCGGGTTTACTACTCATCTTCGCTGTTTTATAGGCTTTTTCTTTTGATTTGATACTTTCCCTAACTGCTCTAGTTAGCCATGGCTGCACCACCTTTCCCATGGCATTCTTATTCCTCAAAGGAATATGTGCTCGTTGGGAATTTTGCACTATCTCCTTGAATGTCTGCCATTGCTGGTCTACCGTCAAATCTTTAAGTTTAGTCTCCCAGTTTATTCTGGCTAAATCCTCTCTCATACCAGCAAAGTTGGCTCGATTTAAATTGAAGACTTTTGCTTCAGACTTAACTACTTCCCTCTCTAACTTAACGCTAAATTCCATCATATTATGATCGCTTTGCCCGAGAGGAGCCTTAAGTTCCAGTTTGCTGATCAGCCCTGTTTCATTACACAAAACAAGGTCTAATATGGCTTGTTCCCTGGTCGGCTCCTCAGCATATTGATCTAGAAAATTATCTCTAATACATTCTATAAACTCCTCTTCTATGTTACCTTTCCCAATTTGGTTGTCCCAGTCTATGTGCAGGTTAAAATCACCCACAATTAGTGTCTTTCCTTTGCTACATGCTCCACTAATCTCTTGATTTATACCTTGAGCGATACTTTGACCACTGTTTGGGGGTCTATAAACTACTCCCACTATAGTTTTCTGCCCCTTGAAGTTACGTATCTCTACCCATACTGACTCTACATCTTGCTTTTCAGATTTAAAATCTTTCCTCTCTACTGTTTTTATCCCATCCTTTATTAGCAGGGCCACTCCCCCTCCTCGTTTACCACATCGCCTATCTTTCCTATATACCACGTAGCCGGGAATATTCAGTTCCCATCCCTGATCACCCTGTAACCATGTCTCGGTGATGGCTACTAGATCATACCGGTTTGTCTCTATTTGTGCAACTAATTCATCTATCTTGTTACGAATGCTTCGTGCATTCAGATATAGTGCCCTTAATTCTGACTTCCGGCTATTAACCCTATTCACCAGCACTCTATCACTGTACTTCCTTTCCCGGCTTGACACACTTTGCTCTTCTCCCTTGTTAATCTGCTCTCTTGCTTTTGTTGATCTCAAGTTTAACTGTGGTGGTCTATACTTTACTATGTTTTTACCTTCCCCCCCTTAGTAGTTTAAAGCCCTTTCTACCTCCCTATTTATTCGCGTAGCCAGGACATTTGTCCCAGCCCTATTTAGGTGGAGCCCATTTCTTTGGAAAAGCTCGCCTCTTCCCCAATACTCGTGCCAGTGGCCCATGAATTGGAATTCCTGCTCTCCGCACCACTCTTTTTGCCAGGCATTCAGATCCATGATCTTCTTTTGCCTGTACCAATTAGCTCCTGGCTCAGGTAACAGTCCCGATATCATCACTTTGGAAGTTCTATTCCTTAGTTTAATTCCCAATTCCCGGAACTCGCTCCTTAACTCGTCCCTACTGGTCCTACCAATATCATTGGTCCCTATATGTACCATTATGATTGGATCCTCTCCCTCATGCCTCAAATTTATCTCCAGCCCGGCGGTGACATCCTTCACCCTGGCCCCAGGAAGACAACAGAGTCTTCTTGTCTCCCTGCTACGGCTACAGAAAACTGCATCAGTCCTCCCGACTGTCTCATCCCCAATAAGAATTACATTTTTAACCTCCTGAGACCTTTACACATGAAATGGTCCTGTATCAAGTACAAGTGTTGTAATAATTGAAACATCTGCAGTTATTTATACCACAAACCAGATGTCAAATCTATGGTGGCATTTTTGGAGAGTGCAATAATTTGTATTTGTTTAATTGGCCTAGGAGCTTCAACCACCCGCCCCCAGCTACTGATAACAATCCTTCCATTTGATATAGCGCTTTATCTTCAAGACGTCTCAAAGCACATCATAGAATATACTGTAAAGTGAATTAACTGTATATTTTGTGGGCGAAACGCAGCAGCCGATTGCGTACAGCAGTTTCCCACTAACAGTCATGGATTGAGTGACCAAATTATCAAAACATTTTTGAAGGGATTATTACCCCCAGAAAAGCAATTCGCTAATTGTCTAACAACCAGGTTCCTACTTACTGCTAGGTAAACAGAGGCATGTGGAGTAAGGAAACTTGTCCTGCCGGGAATCAAACCCAGGTCTTCTCACTTGCGAGGTGAGTGCTCTAACCAACACACTACAGGACTCCACATTCGACAAGTGTAGACTAGGACCAGATCAATCTGTTGTCTCACATTGATCTGAATGAATATTGAATGAATAATGAATCAAAATAATCTATAATAATTTTAAAAATATTGAATATAATAAATAATCAAAATAATCACTGTACAATCGGGTTGAAGTGGACAACAACAAGGGGTCGGTTGAGTGTTGGGAGAAGAAGACAAATCAAAAATTAAGGCATTGTATCAAATGCAAGGATTATTGTGGAGTCCTATAGTTTAGTGGTTAGAGCACTCACCTTGCCGTTTCCTTACTCCACGCGCCTGTTTGCCTCTTTACAGTGTATCCTGTGAAGCGCTTTGAGACGGCTAGAAGATTATTGTTGTTGTTATTATAAATAGGTCGGTCAGGAGCTCATAGGATAATCTAGAAGTGAAATGAAAAACTTTCTACAATATAGGGACGTGGAGCCAGGGTTCCTGCAACAGTAGATGAGCTAGCAAACTAATAAGTAGAGCTAATGTGAGTGAACTTCTCACTTCTGCACTGTACATTCACCCTGTGGTCTGCCAAGCGAGCCTGTGGTTTCTGACACACACATATGCACATCTCCCTCGCCACCTTCAAGACCCACCTCAAGATCCTCCTCTTCATCCGTGCTTTTGATCTCCCTGCTTCCCCCCCTGCGCTCCACCCTCCCCCACCCCGAGCCCCAGCTGCCTGTTCAGCGCCTTGGGACGTCCTCCTGACGTGGAAGGCGCTTTACACATGTAATTTTGTTGCTGTTGTTGCTAATAATTCTTTACCGTCATTCTCACAAGTTACAACTGAACGAGATCTGTCTGGTCTTTCTTTTAACAGCCAACCCCCAAGTTGTGACCACAGCACAGAACTTTCCACTTACTGCAATCCTCTCTTCAGAGGCGCCAGGTCAACTCAAAGATCTATTTATGTTTAAAAGGCTCAACTGTAAATTAATATCAAGACTTCAAAAGGCAGCGACTCTCCTCCAAATCTCAAAATATGCTCTCGTTTGTGGTAACGTCAGTAGATTTCTGTCCTAATAGGATTGCGAGACTGTGATACACGGCGTGCCGATGTACGAGTCTATTGGGTCAAACGTTTTGTGCGATTACACCATGCCCTCTCTCCAGTGAAGAGTGTGGAGAGAAATCAATCCTCTGTGCTTAATAATCTTAGTCTGAGTTCTCCTCGGAACCCAGGAACAGGAGTAGGCCATTCAGGATCTTGAACCTGTCCTATCATTCTATTAGATCATGGCTGATCCTTGTTCTAGCCAGGCTCCACTGGCTCTCTACCGTTGAACTGATCGATTTCAAGTTCCTAACACTTGTTTTCAAATCCCTTCACTCCCTGGAACCTCCCTATTTCTCCGACCTGCTCACCCCCAACCCACAACCTGCTGCCTCCACTCGACTGGCTCGGGCCTCCTGCTTGTCCCTCGAGCCCTCCATTCCACCATCTTCAGCTCACGCCTAAAGACCTTCCTCTTCGATCTGTGCCTATGGTCACTTCCTCCCTCCCACTAGCTCGGCGTCGTGCTCCGCCACTGCCAAACGCTCTGGGTGGCTATACAAGTGCAAGTTCTTGTCGTTGATACCCTTATATAATCCTCCTAGTCATTGTTTGATATCAGCTGGTGTGTTTCCATTTTGTGTCACAGTACAAAGTGAGAAACTATCTGGAGAAGATCATCCTAATCATCTCAGTGCATCTCAATTTGCTGCAAGTCTTAGAAAAGTTGATCCTCGCTAAGAAACAGATAAAAATACCCGGATACAAAGTGTTGTTTGAACAGAATGTCACCAAGAAATGACCACATAGTGCTTTGGAACTCTCTCCTCCAATCTCCCCTCCTCATGCCCTCCTTCCCCTCTTTTAGATCACAACTGAAGACATTCCTCTTCGACCATGCTAACGGTCACCTCCTCCCTCCTACTCTGCGTAAGGTTCGCCACGGTTAAGCGCTCTGAGACGCTGCCCAGCTTGAAGGGCAAGTTGTTGTTATTTGGCACAGTGTGTCTCACCTCCAGCGCTAGATCCTGAACGTGCTGAAATAGTTCCAGGTCTTTCTCGGTCACAACATCTTTGCTCAGAAGTTGATCGTCTTCGCTTTCTCGTTTGCAGCCCCACGAGTCCTGATTGTCTACAGATTTAGAACAAGACAGCAGGTTAGACTGTGTACCTTCACGCTTGCCTACAAAATAAAAAGTCACCACACTCATAAAGAAAATTCTGTGAAGCCTTTGAGACGTTTTGACAACTTGATAAGGCACCATATCAAACAGAAGGATTATAATAATAATCCTTGCATTTAATATAGTGCCTTATCACATCTTCGAGACGTCTGAAAGCGCTTTACAGGATACACTGTAGGGTGAAATGGATGTATAGTTTGTGGGCGAAACACGGCAGCCAATTGTCCAGTTAAATGAAATGTAGAAGGGACAAGGTAACAAACAAGGAGATAACTCTGACTCTGCTAGAGTGATTGTGAGCATTAAATATTAGGGGTGTTGGTTCCTTTAATAAAATGGGTATCATTTCAATGAGAGGACAATTCCCACAATTATCTGGTGGGATTATTATAGGGCGTCAGTTACGAACAAATTGAGCAGCAACTTAGTGCAATGAAACCCTATATAGGACTGAGCATACAGGGGTTATTAATAATAATAATCCTTGCGTTTTGATATTGCACCTTACCAAGTTTTTGAGTCGTCTCAAAGTGCCTTGAATAATATAATGTAGAGGGGATTGCCTTGTGTATTTGTGGGCCAATTGCTCACAGCAGTGTCACACAATCAGACTGTGGTCTGCGTGACCAAACAATTATTTTAAGTGAGGAATTATCCCTAGAAAATATATCTGCCAATCGACTAACAACCGGGTTCCTACTTGCTGCCAGGTAAACAGAGGTGAGCGTGTGTGTGTGTTTCGGTATGTGTAGAGTAAGCAAATACGCCTGAGGTTTCACCCTGACCCGCCCGGGAATTGAACCCCAGAATCTCTCGCCTGCAAGGTGAGCGCACTAAGTGCTTCACTACGGGACTCCTCGACGAGGCGTGGCCATTACCTGCGGGCCACATGCCGCCGTCAGAAGTGCTCGATTTCCGTGGCCCCTTTTTCTTGAGCCGGTATTGCTCGGCCAAGTCCAGAGCTTCGCCTCGCGGCTTCCGCCCGTCGGGAGAAGGGGTGAAGAATTTGCTAAGGCCGTCGATGAGCCCTTTGGTTTTCTTGTTCATTTTCAGACCGGAGCTGTGGGTGTTCTGGGTGTGCTCGGCCATACCGGCGATTTTGCGCTTGCGGCCTCGCCCGGGACATCGCCTCTCTTTGTCGAACGGTGGAGTATTTTTCGAGCTGGTAGGAGGAAGGGAGAGAGAAACAATTAGCAGGACTTTTGTTTAGGAAATAATAATAGCAATAATAATAATCCCTGCGTTTGATAACAATTTTAAAAACATCTTTAAGCGGTTCACAGGAAGTTACTGTCATAACAATTATCCTTGCATTTGATATAGTGCCTTATCACGTCTTCGAGACGTCTCAATGAGGGCAGGGCAAAACTTTGGGTAAGTTGCTTTACTCCACACACACACGCCTCTGTTTACCTAGCAATAAGTAGGAACCCGGTTGTTAATCAATTGGCGGATCGCTTTTCCGGGGATAAGAATCCCATAAAAACAATAAATAAACTTTTAAAAATCAGAATAATTTGATCACTCAATCCACGACCATTGCTGCTGTGAGCAATCGGTTGCTGTATTTCATCCACAAAATATACAGTTGATTCACTTAAAGCGCTATATCAAATGGAAGGATTATTATCAGTAGCTGGGGGCGGGTGGTTGAAGCTCCTAGGCCAATTAAACAAATGCAAATTATTGCACTCTCCAAAAATGCCACCGTAGATTTGACATCTGGTTTGTGGTATAAATAACTGCAGATGTTTCAATTATTACAACACTTGTACTTGATACAGGACCATTTCATGTGTAAAGGTCTCAAGGCACTTTATAGCATGAGATACTGATGAATGTTAAGCTGCTAAACATGTCAGTTCATTAGCACCTGCACAATGTCCCACACACAGCAAGTATGTTTGGTTAATTTGAGGAGAGACAGTGTGGAGGGCACCAGGAAAACGCCCTACAAAACAGTGCCCTGGGCTGTTTAACAACCACAAGAGCAGGCAGAATGTGTTACAGCTTATTTGAAGGATGGCACATCCCACAAAGCAGAATATTTGCATTGATATAGCGTCTTATCATGTTATTGAAACGACTCAAAGCACTTCACAGAATATATTGTGAAGTGGATTGTGTATTTTGTGGGTGAAACTGCGCACAGCAGTGTCCCACAAACAGTGGTGGATTGAGCTAACAAATTATTTATGAAGGTATTATTACCTCCGGAAAGCGATCCACCATTTGACGAACAACCCGGTTCGGGAGGTGTGAGGAGCAAGGAAACCTGCCGAAGGTTTCGCCCTACCAGGAATCAAACTCAGGTCCTCTCGCTTGTGAAGCGAGTAAGCTAACCAATATTAGACTGTATATTTCGGCCACAAAATATACAGTCAATTCACTTCACTTTATTTTTTGAAGTGGTTTGAGACGTCTTGAAGACATGATAAGGATTATTATTCTTAATAACAACTTTGCTACAGTTCTGCTCTGTAAACGTAGATTGTGATCTCAAATTCTGGTCCGGATGTGAAATCTGTAACCTTGTGATGCTGAGGGTCAATAGCTCTACTAATTGAGGCTCACATATAACCTTCAAACCTTGTCGATTTGTTTGGCTTATTCTCAAAGCTCGAGTGGTAATTTGTCTTTGACAGGGTACAGGAGCAGATGCGTGCTTGCGTATGTTTGGACCAGCATGTGATTTTCATCACAGAGGCTTTGCTGACACACTGAGCGATCGTGTGGCTTCCAATCCCAGGTGTGAATAGGGAGACCTGAAAGCGAGGCATTTCTGTTCTCACATTACAGATATCAAAGCCAGCAGACAGTGCTTGTGTAATAGAGAATAGTTTGGTAATCATTGCAAAACCATAACTTAAAGCAGCATCACCACTGGGCATCTCGTCAACAACCCAACAACCACAAAAACACATTACATTTACACAGCGCCTTTCACGTCAGGAGGACGTCCCAAAGTGCTGTACAGTCAGGAATTTGTACCTGAGCTGGGGATTGGGATCAGGAGGGGTGGAGGGCAGGGAGGGTGCGGATAGGGTGACTGAACGGGAAGACGAAGAGGAGGGTCTTGAGACATGCCTTGAACGAGGCGAGGGAGGTAGCGAGGCAAAAGGACTGTGGGATAGAGTTGCAGAGGGTGCAGGTTGGGCGGGAGACCTGGAGCAGGCCAGAACCTGCTGAGCGGAGGGAGCGGACAATTTGATATGAGGTTAGCAGGTCACAGAGGTAGGAGGTAGGAGGGGGCGAGGCCATGGAGGGCTTTGAAGGCCAGGACGAGGAGTTTGAACTTTATCCTCCTGGGGATGGGGAGCCAATGGAGCCGGGCTGGCGAGGGTGGGGGTGATGGGGGTCAGGGAGCCTGGTGAGGAAGAGGACACGAGCTTCAGAGTTCTGGGTGATCTGCAGCTTGTGGAGGGAAGAAATGGGAAGGCCGACAAGCAGGGCATTGGTGCTCATGATCAGGAATCGCATGGCATGCCACACACTGCACAAACCGAAGAGCGCAGTCTTTAAACATCGCTGCTTTTATCCTTCAAAATACTTACACTGCCTTCTTCTTTAATCTGTTTTTCGAGTGTCCTATTGACGTGACGTAGCGTCGTTTAATCTGTACCGCTCTCTTGTGTAACAGTTTTCTTCCCTTTTTCCGCGGCCGACAAATCTGGCACACCCACATTCCTGGAGCAAAGGAAAGACAAGATTCATTTCTCAGCATGGCTGCCTCACATCGGCTCCAAGGCATCTCCCATCATTTCCGCAGATGAAATGAACTGTTCACAAATGTTGAAAAGAAAAACACAAATCGCGCACACAAATCTTTAAAGGGCGATTTGATTACTGTCTTAAGGATTCTAAAGGGGTTAGATAATGTAGTACACAATAAGCTGTTTTATCTTATACTGAGCAGTAGAACCAGAGGACACGGCTGCAATTGAAGGGGAGTAAATTCAGAACAAATCTGCGGAAACACTACTTCAGTGCGTGAGAAGTAAACGTATGGAACAGGCTCCCGAGGGAGACAGACGGTGGAAGCAGAAACTGTTGTTTGTTTTGAGAACAAATGAGATCGATTTCTGTTAGGAAATAATATCTGGGGATACAGTATATAGTTTGGGACACGACATGTCAAGCGACTGCCAGGATGGTGGAAGATGAACTGGATGGACCTTGGTCTCACCTAGCAAATTTTTATGTCTTATCTTCCAAAGAAATGTCTGAAATCTCAATAAAGCCCTGTATAATGTTAGAATGTGGCATGATGAAAGCGTAAGATTAAACAATTGTGGGAGCTAGATCCAAAGTTTTTCCAGGTTAATCATAACAACACACAAATTATGTTTGTTTTGCGCCTTTTACCTCAGGAAGACGTCCCAAGGTGCTAGACAGTCGGGGATTTAGACCCGAGCAGGGGGTTGGGATTAGGAGGGGAGGAGGGCAGAGAGAGGAGGGTGACCGAAGGAGTGCTTGAAGAGGAGGGTCTTGAGACATGCCTTGAAGGAGGCAAGGAAGGGAGCGAGGCGGAGGGACTGTGGGATGGAGTTCCAAAGGCAGAGAGGCTGAAGGATTGCTCGCTGATGGTGGGGCGGGGGGTCGGGAGGGGGACGTGGAGCAGGCCGGTCACTTGTTAAACATTTGTTAAACATAGAAAGACTTGCTAAATGTTGGGTGGCAGGGTGGATAATTTTATTCAGTTCCTGTCTGTAACGTGTTCTCAGTATGGCTCAGTGGTTAGAGCACTCGCTTTGCAAGTGAGAGACCTGAGTTCAATTCCAGGCAGAGGGCGAAACCTTGGGAAGGTTCCTTACTCCACACAGAGCCTAATAATAATCCCTCCAAAACCCCCCCCCCAAAAAAAAACAATAATAAATTGGTCATTTTCAATCTACGACTGTTTGTGGGACATTGCTGTGCGCAATTGGCTGCCGCGTTCGCCCACAAATATACAGTCAATTCACTTTACAGTATATTCTGTGAAGCGCTTTGGGACGTCCTCCCGACGTGAAAAGCACTATATCAAATGCAAGGATTATTATTATTATATTATTATATGCAGCCAGGAGAAATAATTCTGATGGAAAATTCCATGAGCACCCATCCTACCCCGTGCATCTCCTCTAATGGACTCACCAGCAGCCGTATTTACAACACATTCATCAAACTCAACCTCAGGGATGTGCCAGAGGTGCAGAGAGAAAAATCTTACATTGCAACCGGGACGATGGATACAGCAAGAAGGAGAAGGTCATATAAATTAATTGCGTACAGGCTGAGGGCACCTTAAATTATCGTGGAAATGTCCTACAAGACACAACGTAGCGGTCAATTCGTAACAGAAAGAGACGATCAACAATTAAGTTATGCCACCCTTTGGCTCTGCAGACGATGAGAACAGCTGTTTTACACTGTTGTTCGACCCTGTGTCTAATTTGTCTGAAATGATCTTCAAGGTGAAAGTAAGGACTTGCATTACTGCAAGAGACTGGATCAACAGTGGGAGGAAATAAAACACTCTCTACTCCTTCAATACGAGAGTTATATTTGCTGTATCTGTCACAGAAATCACACGGGTCCAATCTTTTGTTCAAAACTCACTCACTACTTTAGGAGAAAAATAAATGGAATGTCAGCAAATGTGACTTTCCTGCCTCCCAGTCCATCTATTCGGTCGGTCACCTTGCACCATATCCCTGCTGCCATTCTTAACCTTATGGTCTGGTCTGCAAGGTGAATTATAAGCACAGCCTTGTGGACTTATGGTGAGTCTCTCTCTGGCTGATGGGAAGCGCTCTGGGGTGCTACCCTGCGTGAGGGGCACTATATAAATGCAAGCTGTTGCTGCCGTGATTCTGAGACTCATTTCTTCCAAAAGCAAAGCAAGGTATGCGATTTTCCTCAATGCAACAACAAGAATAACTAGGTTTACACAGCGCCTTTCACGTCAGGAGGACATCCCAAGGCGCTGGACAGTCAGGGATTTGGACCCGAGCTGGGGGTTGGGATCAGGGGGTTGAGGGCGGGGAGTAGGAGGGTGACCGAAAGCGCGGTCGAAGAGGAGGATCTTGAGACGGGCCTTGAAAGAGACGATAGAGGGAGGAGGCGAGGAGAAGGGACCACGGGATGAAGTTCCAGAGAGGCTGAAAGCCTGACAGCAGATGGTGAGGACGGCGAGGCGAGGGGACATGGAGCAGGCCGGAGCCCGCTGAGCGAAGGGAACGGAGAGTTCTATATGCACTGCAGCAGGATTGTGCTGAAGGCTTACCTTTCGGCATCCTGGTGAGGGGTGGGTCACAGCACTCCATGTGGAATCCCCGATCACAAGAATCGCAGAACAGCATGTTGTCCTTCAAGAGAAGGAAATCACAAATGAAATAATGGCATTTAAAGAACAAACAACAACTTCCACTTATATTGCGCCCTCCACTCAAGGCAGCGTCTCAGAGCTCTTAACAGTGGCGGAGCTTGATTCCGAGCCGGTGGGAGTGGGGGGAGGTGGCCGTAAGCACAGTCGAAAAGGAAGATTTTCAGGCGAGACTTGAAAAGGGGAGGGGGGAGGGGGCGAGGCGGAGGGATTGAGGGAGAGTTTTGTAGCCTAGTGGCTGAATGCTGCAGAGAGCCCAAGGGACGAGCAGGAGGCTGGTGCCAGTCGAATGGAGGCCCCGTGGTGGATTGGGGAGTGAGGAGGTCGGAGAGGTAGGTAGGGAGGTGCCAGGGAGCGAAGGGATTTGAACACGAGTGTGAGGATCTTGAAGTCGATCTTGTAAGTTCGTAACAGTCATTGCTCAGTATGGAACAGGTGCACGATCTTCACAGAATCATATAGCGCAGAAGGTGGCCATTTGACCCATCGTGCCTGTGATGGCTCTTTGAAAGAGCTACCGACTATTCCCACTCTTCTGCTCTGAATGCTTTTCCTTTTCAAATATCTATCCTATTCCCTTTTAAAAGATGGAGCCAACGAAAGATCTTTGAAACTTGTGTTTGGCTGCAATAAACAGCCCATAGGCACGTGTAAGCAAGCAAGAGATCCTAGGTTCAATTCCTGGGCAGGACGAAATGTTGTGATGTGATTCCTTACTCCACACGGCTTTGTTTACCTAGCAGTAAGTTGGAACCCGGTTGTTAGTCGATTAGCAAGATCGCTTTTCTGAGGGTATTTAATCTCACAAAAAAAAAAATTTTTTTTTTTTTTTAAAAATCCACGACTGTTTGTGGGACACTGTTGTGCGCAATTGGCTGCCGCGTTTCTCCCACAAAATATACAGTCAATTCACATGTCAGCCTATTCTGTAAAACGCTTTGAGACGTCTCGAAGACTTGATAAGATGCTATATCAAATGCAAGGATTATTGTTATTATTATTTAGATAATGGCTCATTTCAAGAACTCCAAATAGACACTGAGATGTTAGACCACATTCACAATATGAAATCAAACCACAGATTGTATTTGCATTAATTGATTTATCAGTTCAATGCAGAAACAAGGACTAAATTTTCATGGCATCTCATAGCATTTCATGGGTAATGATCAGCAAGTTTAGTGGCTGTTTAGGGTTTAAGGGACTAAACACCTCTGTTTACCAGCAGTAAGTAGGAACCTGACTGTTAGTCGATTGGCAGATCGCTTTTCCGGGGGTAAAAATCTATCAAAGAAAAAAAAGGGCACTCAATCTGCGACGGTTTGTGGGCCACTGCTGTGCGTAATTGGCTGCCGTGTTTCGCCCACAAAATATAGTCAATTCACTTTACAGCATATTCTTTGAAGCGCTTTGTAATGCCTCGATTGACGTGATAAGGTGCAAAACCCAATGTAAGAATTATTGTTTTTATTATTATTGTTGTGCTCTCAATCCCTCTAGTCTCAACTTTAAGATAAAATCACTATAGCAGCCTGTGAACCACAACATTGTTCTATACAGAATCCCATCACAATTGCCTTTGAGTCTTCAAAGACGTTTTTAAAGTGACAAAATTTGCATGGTCTTCAGTTAATGTATTGTATATAAAAAAATTGTATATGAAGAGAGAAAAATTATATAATTTGATCTAGAAGGAGCTTCACTGCTGCTTTATCCTGTCATCCGAACCCACGGAGTGAATTTCTGCCTTATTAGCTTCTGGTAGATACCCAATATTCTACATCTTGTTCTATTTCTGACTCTGGTGTATTTCCCTCAGGGTAAAACCATTACCCTTGAGAACGCTGATAATTAAGAGCGGGAGCACAGAGCTGTGAGCTCAATGGCTCACTTACTTCACCAGAGTTCAAAGCTGATCATTCAGCTTTTACTCTCCTGTCACACAGTACACCTCACAGCCCACAACCGCTCCAATACACTGACTAGGGGTATCCATTTTGATTTAAATCATATTCCCAATTTACCAGTCTGCGTGTTCTGCGCAGATCGATTTTCCAAAAGTCCAGTGACAAAGTATTTTACATTTGTAACAATAACATTTAAAAAAAAAGAATAATTTGGTTGCTCAATCCCCGACTGTTTGTGGGATGTCGCTGTGCGCAATTGGCTGCTGTGTTTCGCCCACAAAATATACAGTCATTTCACTTTAACAATATATTCCATGACACGCTTTGAAGCAGCTCGAAGATGTGATAAGGTGCTACATGGATTATTATTACTATAATCACTATAAATGAACAGAAAATGCTGCAAAATCACTATAATAAAATGTAAGTGCTTTAAAATAACTCTGAGGAGCTCCTCATAACCTAAATTGACAGCTTCCCATTGCTCCTGGATATTTTACAATGAAATAGTAAATATACAGTTACTGTCTACAGGCGTGGAGTTGTTACAAACAGAATAAATGACAGCTCTAATTGCTCAGCACTCAGGAGAATGAATGATTCCAATATTTTCTTTTCTCCTCTGAAAGCTGCTCATTGAGATACCAACATGTTTGTGATGACATGTAATAATAAATACTGTAATAAATACAATACATACAGAATGATATTTGTGTCGCGCCTCTCATGTCGGGAGGACGTCCCAGGGCGCTGAACAGTCAGGGAGCTGGCCCCATCAGCGGGGGAGGGGGGGTGGGTTGGGGTAAGGGAGCATGGAGAGTAGGAAGCGTAGGAGGGCAGCTAAAGATACGGTCAAAGATGAGCGTCTTGAGATGTGCCTTGAAGGAGGCAGGGCAGGAGGGGGGGTGGGGGGGCAGCGGCGCGAGGGAAATGAAGGTGGGGTTCCAAACATGGGTGGGAGATGCTGAAGTAGAGAGGGGCAAGGCCTTGGAGGGCCTTGAAGAGGATGACAAGGATTTTGAATTCTATGCTCTGGGGATGGGGAGCCAGTGGAGCTGGCCGAGGGTGGGGGTGATGAGGTCACAGGGCCTGGTGCGGGAGAGGACACAAGCTGCAGAGTTCTGGATGATCTGCAGCTTGTGGAGGGAAGAGATGGGAAGGCTGACAAGCAGGGAGCTTCCGCAGTTGAGCCTAGATGTAATGACCATGCGAATGAGGGATTCGGCGGCCTGAGGGGTGAGGCAGCGGCAGAGTCGGGTGATGTTGCAGAGGTGGGGGAAGGCAGAGCAGGTCATGGCACAGATGTGGGGTAGAAAGGACAGTTGAGGGTCAAGCAAGACGCCAAGGTTCCGGACTGGCTTAGCAAGGTGGAGTGTGCAACCATGGATAGTAATGCTGTCGGTGTCTGAGGTGAGGAGGTGCTGACGAGAGCCAATCAGGAGAGTCTCCGTCTTGTAGAAAGTTAGCTCTCATCCAGAATTTGATGTCTGACAGATATTCTGTCAGGACAGCAGTGGGTTCTGGAGTCCACAGATAGAGTTGGGTGTCATCCGCAAACATGTGGAAGTTGACCCCATGTCTGCAGATGATGTCACCAAGAGGGAGCAGTACAAAATTAAATTTGTAAAGTGCCATTCACGTCAGAAGGACATCCCAAGGCGCTGGACAGTCAGGGGTGGGGGGGCTGGGGGAATCAAAGAGGGTGGAGGGCAGAGAGGGGAGCCGAAGGCATGGTCAAAGAGAAGGGTTTCAGGTTCCCTGAATCTGAACCATTTAACACAGAACCATGAATGAAGGTTGAGGTGAGAGAAGAGTGGAGGAGGATAGAGTGGTCAACTCTATCAAAGGCAGCAGAGAGGTCGAGGAGGACAAGGACTGGTCACAGATGGACAGAATGTCACTTGTCACTTTGGCCAAGGCAGTTTCTGTGCTGTGTTCACGGAAACCTGATTGGAGGGATTCGTATATAGGGAGTGGCGGGAAAGGAAGTAGCAATGCTGGGACGCAACTACACATTGAAGGACCTTGAAAATAAAAGAGAGGTTGGAGAGGAGTGGGTAGTTGATGGGTCCAGGGAAGGTATTTTAAGGGTGGGGGAAGGCAGAGCTGTTTTGAAAGGGGTGGGAACGGTCCCAGTGGACAGGGAGAGGTTTATAATGTCTGTGAGAAGAGGGGCAAGGAAGTGGAGCTAGGAGGTAAGGACAGAGGTAGGGATGCGGTCAGAAGAGTAGGTGGTGAGTTTCATGTGGGTTATAGTGGTGGTGAGAGAGGAATGAGAGATGGGTTCCAAGAGTGTGAGGAAGAGATGGGCTTGAGGTAGAGGGGCTGAGTGGATCCCCTCAATTTTGTTTTCATGGAAGTCCAGCATCTCCTCGCAGCTGGAGTTGGAGGAGAGGATGGATGAGGTGTGAGAGGGTGGGCGAAGGAGCTGGTTGGTGATGGAGAAGAGGACCCTGGGATTGTCCTTGGCCTCCAAGATTATCTTGTAGAAGGACTATTCAGCAGAGATGAGAATGGAACGATAAGTTTTGATGAGGTCCAGCCAGATTTGCCGATGTACTGTTAAAATAGATTTGAGTCAGGTGCGTCTCTTGAGGGAGCGGAGGTCGCTGGTGTACCAGGGTGAATTACCTGAGAAGGAGGTGGTTCAGGAAGTGAGGGGGATAAGAGCATTGAAACTGGCGGAGAAGGAGTTGTGGAGGACAGTGACTGATTTGCCCCACTGCTGCTGCTCCTGGTTACCTCTCGACTCGGTCTCGAATCAGCTCCCGGTCACACTCACCCGCCCTGCCCTCCTTCTCCGACGCCTCTCAGTTTCCATAGCCACTTGCCCCCTCTCGTCTCCCTCACATCTGCCTTTATAAATAAATCCTTTATTATCAAATCCTTGCATTTGATACAGCGCCTTATCAGGTCTTCGATGTGCCTCAAAGCGCTTCACAGAGTATACTGTAAAGTGAATTGACTGCATATAATATGGGCAAAACGTGGCAGCCATTTGCACACAGCAGTGTTCCACGAACAGCTGTGGGTTGAGTGACCGAATTAATATTATTATTATTTTAAGGGATTACCAACCCCGGAAAAGTGATCCGCCAGTCAACTACCAACCAGGTTCCTACTTACTTCTAGATAAAAAGTGTGTGGAGTAAGAAAACTTGCCCAACGTTTCACCCTGCCCGGGAATCGAACCCAGGTCTCTAGCTAACAAGGCAAGTGCTGAACCACTGAGCTTCAGGGACTCCACGTTTTGTCTCAAAGCCGCTGGACTGTTTGTGGGCTGGAAGAGATATGTCAATTATTTTGGCAGCTCAAGTGATATCAATGCAAGACAAGAGCCACTGAATTGACTCTGTAGGCAGATGGCCAGCCTATAGGTCCAGTCCGTGCTTTCACACCACAAATGGCTTGAGAGAACTGTCCTGCTGCCACAGTGAGCCACTGCCTTCATGAACCAGAGTCAAGGGAAGAAAATCATTCTGATAAATAAGTGGCCGGAAGTCAATTATTTTGTTAAGCTCAAGTGACATCAGCAGCAAATAAAAACAAAACTTGTTTTATGATGGTTGTGAGAACATAAAACCAAGATTTAATTAGATTAACCTCGCACGTTGCCAATCTTGAATAATTTATACCAACCACCAAAGTACAATGTGGACACTTAAACGCGTGGGAAATGCTAGCAACTTAGCTGAAGAGTTGATGGGCTGAATGTTTCTATCTTCCTTTTTTAAAATGAATCATCGAATGAATCAATTTCATGATCTTCTCACTTGTTTTCAAATCCCTTCAAGCCCTCATGCCTCCCTACCTCTCCACCACATGCTGGCTCCGCTCGACTAGCTGCGGCCTTCTGTTCCTCATCCCCTCCGCTCCACCATCAGTGGCCGTGTCTTCAGCCACTACGCCCCGAAACTCTGGAACTCACTCCCTCAATCCCTTCGCCTTGCCCCCTCCCTCCCCACTTTCAAATCCCGCCTAAAAACTTTAGGTGTTGATTGTGCTTACGGTCACCTACCCCCTCCCTCTCCTCGATTTGGGATCAGACTCCACTACTGAACAAGAGCTCTGGGACGCTACCCTCCATGAAGGGCGCTATATAAATGCAAGTTGTTGTTAAAATGTTGTCAGAACATAAGCCCTGCTAAGATGGTAAATGGGGCTTTTGGTTTTGCAATTCCTGGTCATCAATCGCACACATTTGCTCAGGATCGATAGCGACACCACTTGGTTGCTGTTGTAATAATAATAATCTTTGCACTTGATACAGCGCCTGATCACGTTTTCAAAACGCTTCACAGAATATACTGTTAAGGGAATTGACTGTGTATCTTTTGGGCAAAACACGGCAGCCAATTACCCACAGCAGCGTCCCACAAACAGTCGAGTGACCAAATTATTATTTTTTTTTTAAAGGAATTATTATTCCCAGAAAAGCGAGCTGCCAATTGACTAATAACCGGGTTCCTGCTTTTACTACTAGGTAAACAGAAGGGTGTGGAGTAAGGAAACTTGCCCAACATTTCGCCCTGCTGGGAATCAAACCCAGGTCTCGCGTGTGAAGCGAGTGCTGTAACCACTAAACTACAAGAACTACAAGTGATACCAATCACTTCTCTTCATCATCATGAGTGTATTCGAACATGGTGACATTTCCATGGTGCCTACAGGCTGGCTGTCCATTTCACTGTGACCAGATAACACTCACTGATGATCTTCTGCCTTGCAATGCACTTCAGCTCACAGATCCAAGCAGTTACAGCTCTCTGGGAATTGGGGACACCCTGCTCTGTTGCTCTTTGTGAGGGGAGATAGTATTTATTATGTACTTTCTAGGCGTGCTGGCATTGTAGGTTAAGAAAGTACATCTACTGCCAACAAATAAGACTCTGATGAATTAGCACTTTGTTTTGTGGAGGGCTTTTCTCCAGACACCAATCTATTAAAATGAGGACTGATGGATTTTATTTAAAACTGAAGAAGCACCGAGAATCCCAATGAATAGGTTATACTCCACTGGTATCAATAATAATATTAATTGTGTTTGATATAGCGCCTATTACGTCTCAAAGTGCTTCACAGAATATCGTAAAGTGTATTGACTGTATATTTTGTGGGCAAAACACAGCAGACAATTGTGCATAACAAGGTCCCACAAACAGTCATGGATTGAGTGACCAAATTATTATTTATTTATTCATTTATTTTTGACAGGTATTATTACCCATGAAAATACGATCTGCCAATCGACTAACAACCGGGTTCCTACTTACTGCTAGGTAAACAGAGGCCTGTGTATGGAGTAAGGAAACTGGCCTATGGTTTTGCCCTGCCTGGGAATCAAATCCAGGTCGTCTCGCTTGGGACTAAGTCACAGGTCCGGTTTGTAATAAGGAACCACGGTCAGTGGCTTGCACTGCATTAAATGGCAATGACTTGGTGGTAAATATACTTTATTCAAATAGGTTTGGGGATGAGGGACTTCAATTATGTGCTGATACTGAAGAGGCTGCGATTGTTCTTAGAGAATAGACGTTTGAGGGGTGAATCAAACCCGGGTTCTCGCTTGCGAGGTGGGCGCTCTAACCACTACCCTGCGGGATTCCACCAATATGCCTAGCATCGATCGTAGGTAGGTGTTAATAGACGGTAATGCAGGTTTCTAGTACAAGGTGAGAGTGTGACTTACAGCATTCTTGCCCTGGTCCCAGCAGGTGCTGCACGTCTTGCATTCAATACACTGCCACCGCAAGGCCTTCACGCGAGCAGTGAGTTCTGGCGAGAATTTCAAACAGGAGGGGTGACCTGGGTACACAGCAGAGGTGGCACTTCAGCCTCACAGACTATGTTACACACATAATCAAACACGCAACAAACAAAAAAAGGTCATTTGACCTATAATGTCTGCTGGTTTTAGTCGCTCCTCCCCACCACACACACACCCACACACACACAGAGGAACTCTCGACTCTAATCTCCATTCCCTTGATCTTTCCAATTTTGTGCCGGTGCTCATGTCACTGGATGAGAACAACTCTCAGTGTTCTACCGTGACAAACTAAAATACATGGCGTCAGAAGCACCTTTTTTTTTGTAAATCTATTTTTCTATTTATTGATAATAATAAAATAATAATCCTTATTTATATGTATAACAACATAACATAATAAATCATTTGCTATGAATATTTGAATTCATTTGGGAGGAATTCGGGAGAAAATGCTCCACAACATTCGTGCTTGAATTTCAATAACATAAGTGTCCGTCCTGTTATGGTTATTTTAAAGTTAGGTTTAAGCAGTGTACTTAAATGCTGAGACTTTCAACTAAATGCAGACTCTGTCTATGCGTGAAATGGAAGCTTTCTCTCCTCACAAACTTCAACAGCCATTTGCACTACTCAATGCAGTTATCATAGAATAGAATTGTAGATTATTCAGCACAGAAGGAGGCCATTTGGGCCATCGTGAAAGAGCTATCCAAATCAATCCCGCTCCCCAGCGCTCTCCTCATAGCCCTGCAAACTTGTCCTCCACAAATCATTATCTTCTTCTCTCTTAAAAGTTGTTATCGAATTGGCTTTCACCATCCCTCCTTTCAGGCAATGCATTCTAGATTCGAACAACTCGCTGTGTGAAAACATTTCTCCTCACCTCCCCTCTCTGGTTCTTTTGATAACTATCTTTCATGTAGAAAAGCCTCATAAAGCACTTTACAGGGATGGTGCGGTCACCAAATCAGGGAGGAGGGGGTCCTGCGGACATTGACCGAAAGCGTAGTCGATAAACTAACAGGGTGGCATCTGGCCCCTCCCCCCCTCCCCCCTCCATTTCACCTGCCCCACCCGTTCCCCTCCATAACCCGTGATTGTTGTTATGTTTCTGGAAGGGAAACCTAAAAATCCTGCTTATGCGGCCTGCTGACATTTCTCAAATAGGGCACCCGGCCCTCAGCAACCAAAAGGTTGGGACCACCCAAGAAGAATTTTGAAAGCAAGCAAGTCGACAGAGGGAGAGCGATTCTGCCTTTGAACAATTCTTGTACAGAAACACAACTGCTTTTATATTTCCAGAGCATTTTCTGCAACAACACTGATTTATTTAAGAGAGATAAGATCACTGGAACTAATGAGGTGCGTGTACGTACCACTGTTACCACAGTCTGCGCACGATATCAGCTCTTCCCGTTTCTTTTCCCGGTTCTGTTCCTTCGTTCCCAGGCAAAACCCACAGATTGGAATTGGCTCCGCACGAGGCTAAGCAAAGAGAAAGAATACGTTTATTTTCCATGTTCTCTCCAACAACAATTGACATTTACACAGTGCCTCTCACATTAGGAGGCGCTATAGAATCAGGGATTTGAACCCGAGCTCTGGTTTGGGATCCGGAGGGGTGGAGGGCAAGGAGGGTAGGAGGTAGGAGCGTATCCGAAGGAGCGGTCGAATGGTGGCAGTAGAAATCTGGGCAAATACCCCCAATGGAACACAAATTTAGACATAAAAAATAGATCAAGGAACTCAACAAGTGGCCAAGTATAATGTGCATCTGAACTGGGGGGAGGGTAGTTCTGTAACTACTGTCATAGAATCCTACAGCACAGAAGGAGACCATTTGGCCCATCGTGCCTGTACCGGCTCTTTGAAAGAACTACCAACTAGTCCCACTCCCCACTCTTACCCTATAGCCCTGAACATTTTTCCCTTTCAAGTACCTATTCAATTCCCTTTGAAAGCTACTTATCGAATCTGCTTCCACCACCCTTTCAGGCCATGCATTGCAGACCATAACAACTCTCTGGGTAAAAAAGAAGTCTCTTCGTTTCAACAACTACAACTTAAATTTATATAGCGCCCTTCAAGTGGGGTAGGGTCCCGGAGCACTTGACGGTGGCAGAGTCTGACAACGAACAAGAGGGAGTGGGAGGTGACCGTAAGCACGATCAAAAAGGAAGGCCTTAAGACGGAATTTGAAAGTGGGGAGAAGGGGTCATGCGGAGGGGTTGAGGGGAGAGTTCTAGAGCGTAGTGGTTTCAACGGTGTCCGTTGTAAATTGCAAACTAACACTAACGAGCTGCGTAACATTTTTCCCGCTCAACAAGGAAGCGTTAAATGGTTCACACATCTCAGTTCCCTTTGGGTTTCGCCCACAAAATATACAGTCATTTCATTCTACCGTATATCCTGTGAAGCACTTCGGTACATCTCGAAGACGTGATAAGGTGCTATCAAATAATCAAACGTAAGGATTATTATTATTGTTGTTGTATTGTTGTCTTCCTTCAGTTGACAGACGCAGCAGCTTATGCTGTGCTGGATTTTCGCCACTGGAGGTCACCCACGGTAGTGAGACGGGTGCCTGGGACTATGTATCATCACTTTGTTGTTTTGTTATGCTGCAAACTGATGCCTAAGGATCCATTGCAGTAAAACACACACTTACACACACCTTGCATTAAAGTTCTCATGGGCAGCTCATTTTTCTCATAGATAGGTCGTCTGTTTAATAACATGACTTGCGCCAACTGTCCCCTTCGGTTTAATGAGCACAGCTCAGTCTCCACAAACAGATGGTCACTAATCTGCCCCAGTCATACTTAAGATGTGCTATTGCACCTCCCTACCTCACCGATCAGCTTACTCCCCCCACCCCACAACCCAATGCCTCCGCTCGGCTGGCTCCGGCCTCCTGTTTGTCACTCATCCACCCCCGCTTCACCATCGGTGGCCGTGCTTTCAACCACTATGCCCCAAAACTCTAAAACACCTCTACCTCAATCCCTCCGTCTTGCCTCCTCCCTCCCCATTTTCAAATCCCCCCCAAAGGCCTTCCTTTTTGTTCGAGCTTATGGTCACCTCCCCACTTCCTGTGAATGAAGAAACGTTGCACAGAAAATATACATTTACATTTTTACTTCAATAGCATCTTTAAACCAACATCAGCGCCTTTCCACCCCAGGAGGACGTTCCAAGGCGCAGGACAGTCAGATATTTGGACCCGAGCAGAGGATTAGGAACAAGAGGGGTGGTGGACAGGGAGGGTAAGGGGTAAGAGGGTGGCCGAAGGCGTGGTCAAAGTGGAGGGTCTTGAATCGTGCCTTGAAGGAGGCAAGTGAGGGAGTGACGCAAAGGGGTTGTGGGCTCCGAAGGGTGAGGGCATAGAGGCTGAAGGCCTGACCGCCGATGGTGGGGCGGGTCGGGCGGGGGAGATGGAGCAAGCCGCTGGGTGGAGGGCACGGACAGGTTGATATGGGGTTAGCAGTTCACAGAGGTAAGAAGGAGCAAGTTCGTAGAAGGCTTTGAAGGGATTAATACAAAATTCAATGCAAAGATTTAACCCTTACTTCACAAATTACATTTGACAGACACGGGGGGTTGGAGGGGATGGGTAATAAGAGGAGTTAGCAAGTTGAACACAGCCAGAGAAGACTGTCAGATGCTAACAGAGCCATCACTGAAAGGGCAGCTGTGGAATAAACCAATAGGGAGGACAAATTCAGCCAGCCTGCAAGCATTTAATGGGGAGAGAATTAAGCAGTAATATGCAAGTCAGCAATTAAATTTGTTTAATAATAAACACTTTCTCTCAAGCAATGTATGGAGTCCTGCAGCTTTATAATTAAAGCACTCGCCTCGCAAACAAGAGGATCCAGGTTTGATTCCCAGGCAGAACGAAACATTGGGTAAGTTTCCTTACTCTACACGCCTCTGTTTAACAGCAGTCAGTAGGAACCTGGTTGTTAGTAGATTGGCGGATCACTTTCCAGGGGTAATAATCCCTTCAAGTTTTTTTAAAAAAATAATAATTTGGTCACTTAATCCATGCTGAGCGCAATTGGCTGCTGCATTTTGCCCACAAAATATACAGTCAATTCACTTTACAGTATATTCTGTGAAGCGCTTTGAGACGTCTCGAAGACCTGATATATCAAAATCAAGGATTATTATTATAAATGGATTGAGCTTTAAACTGATCACTTGCTGACTTTGTATACAGCGGAACAGCTTAGCCAAACAGCCATAATAAAACTGGAAATAAATTGGCCTTGTGTCGCTCGCAAAGAGAGTCTCACTTTCTCCCCACCCAGAAAGTCATTCACTGTAATCTTTTCTAGTTATCACCATCAATAATGAATCGTCTATCAAATTGTCCAGCTGATTCACTATGTCTGAAAGAATAGAAAGCAGCAATACACAAAAGGACTTACACTGATCACATATTATATATATGAGACGTATATGTATATAATAAAGATATATATATACACATTGCCTGTCACGTTTCGCTCACAAAATATAGTCAATTCACTTTACAGTACTGTATGCTCTGTGAAGCGCTTTGAGACGTCTGGAAGATGTGATACGGTGCTATACCAAAAAAGGATTATTATTATATATACTGTATATATTATAGAGAGAGAATATAATACAAATTATTATTTGCTTCTAAATTGTGATAATCAAAAATCAAGCACAGGTAATAATGAGAACATTTGGTGCAATAGGTCAAAAGTTTTATTCTTGGGGCGAGAAAGATTTCAACACAAAACAACCTTTTTAGCTGTGTTTCACAGCTAACTTCTTAGTGTTAATTGCAGTACAATAACCATAGAAGTATGGTTATTACTTACAATAACTATCTCTGCCATTTCCATTTCCATCTCCCCTCTGCTGCGGGGCAGAACACTCAGGGAGTGTGGAGTCAGACTGCTGTGGACTGTGCAAAGGGTAAGAGAAATCCATGGGAAACTGACACCATGACCTGACTGCCTCAGGGACTTGAGGCTCTCTAACCCATGTCAATAACAATCTATTTAAACCTTAAGGCTTCTGAATCAATTATCCCTGGATAAACGGGCCAGTTTTGGAGCTGAGTTGAATGAATCTCTACTGGCTTTTCCCCAAATCAATGTGAGCTGGGTTTCGCGTCCCACCGTAGGTCAATCAGCGACCATACAATTGTTAGCTGACATTGTTGAGTTGTGCTTGCCAGAGAACGGTGTTTAGCTGGATACAATAGGTTCCACATAAGTTTTCAATAGCAGAGAATTTTTTACTCTTTGAAACACGGAACAAGCAAAAGCTTCCACGCCCAGATACACGGTTACATTAACCAACCCCCACTGCACTTCAAGAGACCTGTGCAGCCAGAGATAATTAGTTCAGATGCAATCTTGAAGCAGTTTTGGCGGTTTGCCGAGGCATGAATCTCTTGAACTTGCAGAAATCTTGATGCAATATCTAAAAAGGACTGGCCTCGCTCTCAAAAATGTTACGCCCTCTCTCGCTCCCCCCAGCGTTCCTCCCCAAGTTATTTAATTTTAGGTTATGCTGCACTCAGAGCTATACAAAACCAACAGTACACGAGAAGGCAACTTGATCCATTGTCTCAGCCACTCTTTTATGTGCCTGCTAAATGTAGACGACCAAATCACATTGATTTGTCTGTCAATTTGGTCTCAATTTGGGGATTACGATCAATGTTGTCTAGTGGAGTCCTATAGCTCAGTGGTTAAACCACTTGCCTCACTAACAAGAGGACCTCGGTTCAATTTCCGGGCAGGGTGAAACCTTGAGCAAGTTTCCTTACTCTACACAACTGTTTACCTAGCAATAAGTAGGAATCCGATTGTTAATTGTTTTTCTGTGGATAATAATCCCTTAAAAAAATATGGTCACTTAATCTATGATTGTTTGTGGGGACACTATTGTGCGCAATTGGCTACCACTTTTCGTCCACAAAATATAGTCAAGTTACCTTACAGTATATTCTGTGAAGCCCTTTGAGACATCTCGGCGACGTGATGAAGCGCTGGATCAAATTCAGAATCGCAGAACACATCAGGACATCCCAAGGCCCTGGATAGTCAGGGAACTGTACCCGAGCAGGTGGCTGGGATCATTAGGAGAGCAGGAGGGTAGGGGTAGGAGGTTGACCTAAGGCACGGTCGAAGATGAGGGTCTTGAGATGGGTCAAATGCAAGGATTATAATTATAATTTCCCCGGCGCAGAAGCCTTTGAAACAGTACAGCCGAGGCACCTCGGGTAGATGCTTCAGTCAAGCGATGAGAGGTGAAGACAGAAGCTATGGCAAGAACTGATGTCCCAATTTAGACATCATTCTCCCAAAGGAACTGTAGAGGATGTGCTGAGATCACACTGATGGAACAGGCACTTGACGTAGTTAGTGAGCCACACAAATAGAGGACCTAGAGCAGTATTTCACAACTGTTTGATACCAGAGTGTAGCTCAATTTCA